TGGCAATGCAAACATTGCCACCTCCCCTGGTGGTGTCAGAGAAGGTTATATTGTGAGTCAGACCTTTCATTCTGCCTAAGGTAGAGAGGTAAGGAGGCTCTTCCATCTGGCAGCGTCAGTGGAGACCACGTGGGAAAACAGTAAAAAGGTGCCTCCTCTCAGCCAGGATAGTGTCATGGAAGCCTAGTGGGATCCTGAACTTTCACCCTAATCCGGCAGTGATGAGATACCCCTCACACCCGCCAGTGTCCAAGGAGGCCATTATGGGAACTGGGACTAACACCTGTACCTGGGAGTAATGAGGCATCCCTCTCCTCCACCGACAGTGTTAGGGGAGGTCTGGAATACAAACAGGATCTTTAAATAAGCTCCAGAGTCTCATAATAAAATACTCACAATGTCTAGGATACAATCTCAAATCACTCGTCATTCCAAAAACCAGGAAAATCTTAACATGAGTGGGAAAACAATCAATAGATGCCAACCCTGAGATGACACAGAGATTGGAACTATCTGATAAGGCTTTTAATGCAGCCATCATCAAAATGCTTCAACAGACAATTATAAACATACTCAAAATATTTTTTTTAAGTCACAATAAAGAAATAGAAAGCTTCAGCATAGAAACACAAGATATAAAGAAAAACCAAATGGAAATCTGCGAACTGAAAAATACAATTACCAAAATAAAAACTCACCAAATTGGCTCAACAGCAGAATGGAGACCACAGAGGAAAGAATCAGTGAACTTGAAGATAGAAAATAAGTTATTTATAAATGAAATAATTAATATGATGTTAATACTGATGTGTGTCTAGATGTCTAAAGACTTGGGTTGCAGGTATGGCATTATCCAATTTCTTGCCAAATGTCCTGGGAATTATTCTTGTTAAGTCTCTGTTCTCTCAACTTTAAAATGAGATAGTAAAAACTGCCCTGGCTACTCTACCTGGATCTTAAATCCAATGTTTCTTGAACATTCACTAGTATTTTTATTCATTCATTTATCAAATATATATTGAATGCCTAATATGAGAACTGCTATAGTAGATCCTAGGACTGTAAGGAGAATATGACATTGTTTCTGCTATAAGGTAGATTACAGTATAATGAAGGAGACATATAAGTACACCAATTGTCAATACAGTGTGATAAGTACCATGGCAGACATATGTGCATAGGGCTTTGGATCTGCTTGGGGGAGGGTGGTGGTAAAGGTAAAGGATAGCCACAGAAAAAGCAGCTGACTGGACTCAGGAATTACAAATTTTGTAATTCATTGAAGCTGAAATGTGGGAAGCTGGATGGGGAGAAACAAAGCTGAGATGAATGGGCTTTGCATGCCATTGGAAGATACATGGTTTTTATTCTGAACTTCATGGAACAGTATTAAATAACTTTGAGCACTATTTGGTATGAGAACATTTACATTGAGGGAAAATATTCTTTAAAAACTTTTTTTTAAATTTGAGTATAGTTGACACACAATGTTACATTAGTTTCAGGTGTACAACATAGTGATCGAACTTCTTTATACATTATGCTGTGCTCACTGCAAGTATAGCTACCATCTGTTACTGTAAAATGCCATTATAATATCAACTGTATTCCTTATGCTATGCCTTTCATCTTCTTGACTTATTCGTTACATAACTGGAAGCCTGTATTTTCTACTTACCTTCATCCATTCCCCCACCTCCTTCCCTCTGGCAACCATCAGTTTGTTCTCTGTATTTATAGGTCTGATTCTCCTTTTTGTTTGTTTATTCATTTATTTTGTTTTTAGATTCCACATAAGAGTGAAATCATATGGAATTTGTCTTTCTCAGTCTGACTTATTGAGGAAAAACATTCTAATAGCATAGGAGATGACTTGAGAGGATGGGCTGAGGCCTGAGGCAGGGAGATTAATTAGGAGGCAGTAATTCTAACCCAGGTTATCAATGAGAGAACTGAACATTTACGGAGATTAATGTGATGTTACATATGGCCGATTAAATGTAGAGAATGAGGGATCAAATCTGACTCTGGGGTTTCTAATTCAGGTCCCGGGGTTGCAAGGTTGTTCCTTGAAGTATGGAAAACAGGAGAAGGGGAGGGTTTGCATTTGGGATGGGGCAGTGGGTTGAGGTGGGGTGAAAATGACTATAGTTTTGGACATGTTATTCTTTCCAAATAGAGATTTTGTTGGGTAGGAAAAATTTTTTACTGTACCCCTCTAGGTTCTTTTGGCTGATCTATTAATTGATGTAATTTGAAATTAACGAGAAAAACTAATTTCGAATGTATGGGAGCCTCACACAGACATGAGAGAGTCAAATAGTCAGACTACTGAGGCTTATATGGCATCCTGAGCTAAGGTGAAGGGGGTAGGGGCCTAGAGCTTCAAAGGGAAGGAAGACAATTCACAGGAAGATGGAAAGAGCAAATGTTTTTTTGCAGAGACCGTGGGACATAGAGAGGAATTGGAACAAATAAGCCCTGCCAAGCCCTCCCCCCACAGCCTACCATGCTTAGCCCATACCCTTTGTAGTTACCTTTGGTGATAGATCTTTTCCTGGACCAGGCTGTCTAACTAAATTCTTAGAAGCAGTTAAGGAGGGGGGAGGCTAAAGGTCTTCCTGAGTCTTTTGGGCCTTGATTGTCTTCTGCTCAAAATAATCCACATGTCAAAGTAGCATGTTTTAAGGATGCTCATTCTGAAACCCTTCAATGTCCAGCAGACTGTGGCTATAAGGGTCCAGAAAGGAGGTCAGGACTGGAGCTAAAGATGGAAGTTGAAACCATATGAGTATAAAGATTACCCAGGGAGTGTATGCAGAGTGAGCCAAGGGATGGATATGGAGCCTTAGGAATCTTGGTCAAAGATTTGACAGAGGAAAAAGATTCCATGAAAGGTATTGAGAAGGAATAAGTAAAGCGGTAGGAGAACAGTCAGCAGATGATAAAGTGAATTCTTCCTGTTCTTTGGTATTGAGGGGGCCCCTTTTTTTTGTGCACTGTCATGAGCATAATTAATTATTGGGCACAAAGTGTGGTAGAGTAGAACTTGTAGATAAAAAAAGAGAATGATGACAAAAACATTTGCTCTTCCAGCAAGCCAATATTCCAATATTTTGTTTCAGAAACAGAAACAAAATAAAAAAAAAATAGAAATAAATATTTTTGTGAGAAAATCCCATAAAACATCTTCCCTTATTTCTGCCACAAAATGTTAAGCAAGCTACCTTTTTTTCTTGGCATATTAGCTCATTATGGCCACATTTATGCTGCGTATCCAGTAACTCTAGGAATGTCCAAATCAAACACATTCAGCAGTTGTTTCCATGTATCTCTAGGTTGTCATGGGTCAGATGATCCAGGATGGGCATGACTGGAAACATGGTTCCAAAAGACATATTATCTGACTCGGTTGGGTCCCCGCTTTTTTTGGGCTCTACTCCCACCTGCAAATAGCTGCTTTGGGTAGGAGGCTGAGGAGGCAGCTGTAATACCGGGAGGCTCTTCTGGAGGAAGTAGAGGTGCAGGTGAGTGAGCCCAGCTGTGCAAGTGCTTTCAGGCCTCTGCTGATTCAGCAAAGCATGCTCCCACGGATGAACCCACATGGAGGTGGGGCCAGGGGAAGAAGAGACAATATTTTTGAACAAATATCGAACCTATCACACTTGGCGATTAAGAATCTTCACGTTAATTACTTTTTGTGCTGTGCTGTCGGGTAGTCATAGTCCGATTATTGAAGCGTGGAGGGTCATTTGACCCTGATTAAGTGATCCCTCCTCCTGCTGAGTTCTGTATGTGTAATTTCTTAATACCGCCACTAAATCTATAGCTGCTTTTAATTCACTGCCTCCTTTCACACAGGGCTTTTTGAGTGAAGACCTGAAGGTGATCCTCTGCTACCGGACAAGACTTTTTCTTCTTGCATCAACTTTTTTTTTTTTTTTCTTGTTATTTTGCATTGTTGCAATATTTGCTAATCTGACATTGGGACAAATAGACCACTGCTGTATTTGAATGCTTTATTCTAATCCCCTCCTCCTAAACAAGTGGCACATGCAAAGCTTTTTCTTTTGGAAAAATGAGATATATTTCCTTAAAAAGTATCTCCATCTATCTACATGATATCCGTATTTTCACAGGAAGGCATTGATCAATTAGCAGATGAAAAGCACTAAATTGCAAAGGCCTTTGAAAAAATTAATTAAAATTTTATATGCTTGTCCATTCTTTATTCAAATTATGAAACATCTCGAAAACACACACAAAAAAAGCAGAACAAAGCTTATCTATTCTTTGTGCAACTGGAGGCATCACACTTAGTTGATGCAAAAAAAATGTATATATAAATAGCTCTTTTAAAGAATTGAATTTTCCAGTAAGTTTGTCTTTTTACAGCAGATACCCAAACTCAGTACACATCTACCATTTGTCTCTCAGCCTAATGTTTGCTTGGCCTGCATTGCTCTTACATGCAATTCATTTCATCCATGTAACCGAGATTATTTTGGTGCTTCATACTTTAGTTTCGTCCTAAGCAATTAAATCCACAAAGTTATCCCCTTGAAATGTGAGATATATTTTTTTCTAGTGCACATCAAAATAAATACATATTTATTAAAATAAAGATGTCCCTTCTGGGGGTACGTGGGTGGCTCGGTCGTTAAACGTCTGCCTTCGGCTCAGGTCATGGTCCCAGGGTCCTGGGATCGAGCCCCACGTCTGGCTCCCTGCTCAGTGTGGAGTCTGCTTCTCCCTCTACCCCTTCCCCCAACTCGTGCTCGTGCACTCCTTCTCTCTCAAGCAAATAAATAAAATCTTAAAAAAAAAAGATGTCCCTTCTGTACCATCTTAAATATCTACTTTGTAGACATCATTATCTGGCATACTATGCATGGGGAAACACTTTTAAGGGCAGTGGTACCAAACTAGAAATATAGAAACTGGTTAAGCAATAATATATTTTGGAAAGAATTATTGACACTTACCTTCCAATTTTTCAGGTTTGTGGAAGGAATGCTTAACATTTGTTACAATGCCATCGATCGTCATATTGAAAATGGTCAAGGAGATAAGATTGCTATCATCTACGACAGTCCTGTTACAAACACTAAAGCAACTATTACCTACAAAGAGGTTCTGGAGCAGGTAATATCATAAATGTTCTGTATATGTTATTTGGAAATCATATAGAAATTACTTAAATAACCTGCATTCACATTGTGTAACCTTTACTTCACTTAATTCATTGACCTACATTACTGTGGTTTCCTTTTGATGCAAATTGGAAAAACTAGAGATATGTTAACTCATTTAGATAGATAGCTTTTATCCCTTATATTTGTATGTTTCAGTACTGGAAGAGACTCATTTTACAGCGAGGGCTTAGCAAGCCTCTAAGAATATGTGTAAGTCCTCTCCTGGCCTTTGCTTCTATCTACGTTGCCATCACGTCAGTCCAGCTACTTTTCAGCTCTCGCAGTAGCGAAGCAGCCTCCCAACTTCCCCACTACCAGCCTCCCCTCCTGTTGGATCGCTACCTAACATGACACCGGAGTTTCCTCCTTAAGAAACAACTAGTTAAAAACCTTTTCCTTAAAAATTGCTATTACTTAGAGAGTAAAATCTGTACCCCCAGAATGTAGAAGCCATTTGTAATCAAGCATTTCCCGAGCTTCATTTCCAGACCTTCTTGGCCGTGCACACAACCGTTCTTCATCTTGGTTGTCCCGTCATGCCCTCTGGCTCTCCTCGTCCTTTACAGGTCTTTTTACACACTGTGCCCTTCCTTCATTTGCTCTTTTTTCTTGTTTATTTGTTCTTTCCCATCTGTGTAGTTCTTGGGTGAATCACAATATTGACAGATGAAGTACAAGATTTTTTTTTTTTAACATTAGGGTAGAAATGAGGTTTCAGAAATAATTATGAATGTATTTGGGTATTGTGGACTGTGTAACATGTATTCTAGCTCTGTGGGGGCATTTATTTACATATGATTTAAAGGGAGATAAAAGCATAGGGAAGGGTTTCTACTTTGATGGTATTGACATTTTATTTATTTATTATTTATTTATTTGTTAATTTAATTAATTAATTTAGAGAGAGTAGGGGGAGGGGCAAAGGGAGAGGGAGAGGGAGAGAGGGAGAGAAGCAGACTCCTCACTGAGCATGAAGTCCAACACAGGGCTCCATCTCACAACCCTGAAATCATGACCTGAGCCAAAACCAAGAGTTGGATGCTTAACTGACTGAGCTACCCAGGCGCCCGACACTATTGACATTTTAAGCCAGAGAATTCTTTGTTATGGGGAACTGTTATGTACGCTGTACGGTGTTTAGCAGCATTCCTGATCTTTACCCATTAGATGCAATAGCTCACCTCCCGTAGTTGTAATGACCAAAAATGTCTCCAAGCGTTGCTGAATGTCTCCTGGGTGGCAAAATGGTTTCTAGTTGCGAACTACTGGTTGAGCAGAGTTGGTTTTACTAGGGTTTAGAAGCATTTGCTTTTAGTATATGTGCTGCCGAAGCGAGCACGAAGCATTTGCTTTTAAATTAAGGCTTTTGAAAGCACATTCTCTTCTTTTGCTTTTTTAACCTACTTAGGGTTTGTACTGGATTTTTAGAAAATTTGGTCAACTTACCTTGACTCCCTGAAATTATATCCTTTTGCATCAACAATGTTCCTGTTTAGACTTCTAAGAGATTTCAAAAAAAGCAACTGGGACAATCCAATGTCTCCATCCTGAGTTGTTGCAAACAATCAAGAGAGAAATTTAAGCCAGTTTTGTTCAAGCTAGGTATCAGCCTGGTTGTATCAGTGAATGCTGGATTCTGCTGATTTAAACATAAGAGGAATTCATGAAAAGGGAAGACTAAAGAGACAGGTTCAGAAAAATGACACACCCCAAGGGAGAAGGGGCAGAGGTAAAAATTTAAGGAGAACCCACACATTGGTAACTAGACTTGCTGACTTGAGTTAACCCCCTAGACTGACATAGTAGGAATACCTAGTTGGCCAATTTTAGGTTACATGCCTAAAGTACTAGGCAGTGGAGGAAGAAATGTCTTCTCTTCTTTTGATTTCATAGTAGGAATTAGGGTCCTAGCTCCCTCTAGGACTCATACTGGGGGAATTCCAATCCAATAAGAAGGGAGTTCAAATGTTAGGCAGCCCAAGACAGAACAAAATAAAATAATGCCACAATTATACTGTTGGGTACTTTGTATTGGTCTGTAAGTGTGAACTCTATTTTCAGAATGAATTATACAGAAACAGAGCTCACACTGGGGCTGAGGAGAGAAAGAACTCCATTAGCAAACGACCTTGTTTTTCATCTGAGGCCACGTTTTATTATAAGAGATAATGTAAATTTCCTGATAACCTGCTGTACCCTGTGTTTTATTTTAGGTTTGCATTTTTGGCTTTTAGATGAGGGTTTGTCTATGATTAAAAACTTTACTCCTCTGATTTGGGCGTATTGTCACAGCTTCACTTTATTAATATTAAGGCCTAAGACACGGGTGAATCTTTTTTTTTTTTTTTTAAAGATTTTATTTATTTATTTGAGACAGAGAGAATGAGAGACAGAGAGCACGAGAGGGAGGAGGGTCAGAGGGAGAAGCAGACTCCCTGCCGAGCAGGGAGCCCGATGCGGGACTCGATCCCGGGACTCCAGGATCATGACCTGAGCCGAAGGCAGTTGCTTAACCAACTGAGCCACCCAGGCGCCCCGACACGGGTGAATCTTAATTAGCATACAGATTAGGATGCTTACTTATATATTTCCAAATATTATCTATACCAATATTGAATTTGATACATAACCATCAGAACCAAAGAGAAAGCTTTAGAGAAACATAAACTAAGGAGAGTTAAATAATTTGCTGCTTTTTGTAAATCAATTACATAAGTATATGGTAAAGACATACACATTTTGCTTAGAAACATTTCTGCTAACTCATCTTGATTTTCTAATATTGAGTCTAGACTCTTAGACCCTTTTGAGGTTTGTGCTGGTTCATTGGTTTCAGTTTAGCCTGACATCAAAGTACTTAAAAGTCCTGTTTCTCTCACCTGCTGACAGCTTCTGATTCCCCAGGCTTTTCTTCTCTAAAGTACTAAAGGAAGACGTGTTAGGAAAGAGGGAGGCATTGTGCTCCGCTTTGATTACCTGCTCCCGGTTCCCTGTGGCCTTTATTTTATTAAGTAGAGAAGACAGAGAAAGAAAGATTTAATGGTAATGCCACTGAGAACAAACAAAGAGAAGTGGCTTTGTACTTGTTTTAATCTCCCCTGTCTCATTTCTACTGGAAGTTTCTGACTAAGTAAAACTTAATTAAGTTAGTTAGCATTTCTTATTTAATTAGGGGACAGACACATTTTAGGCTAAATTGTTTCAGTGACATGAAGGATCTGAAGATTTTACAGAATGATTCAGAAGTAGAGCTTTTCCAAAACTGTCACCTTTTATGTAGATCTGATAATTTAAACAACCCTTTATTAAGACTTTCTGGAGAGAGATTTGAGCCAGGTTCAAGATCCATTGTTCATTCATTCAACAAATGTTTGTTTTATATGCCAAACCCTGTTGGGAACAAGGGATACAAAGTAAATGCACCCATTCCCTAATTTTAAGGAGCTAAGACCTTGCGTAACTGTAATAAAGGTTATGTTAGAGGGAAGTATTATGTTCTGTAGAAACACATGGGAAGGCATGCAGCTCAACCAACTGTTAATACAGCATAGAAAGGCTTTCTGGAAGAGTCAATGCCTAAAATTCGCCCAAATGACCAGAAGTGGGAAGGGAAATCATGGGAAGGAGTGTCCTGCAGACACAAGGAATAGCTCATACAGAGATATTCAGGGAAGGGAGAATCCAGTGCCTCCCCGGTGGCTTTGGCATAAAGTACAAGCACGAGTGATTAGCGAGATAAGGCTCCAGTGAACCAGACTCCCAGAATTCTGAGTGCCACACTACAGATTTGTACTTTATCTTGAGAGCATGGAGAGAAAAAAACAAAAAACAAAAACAAAGGTCCTCCCTGTGACCTTTGGTTCTGCATGATCAGCTCCTGTGACTTATTCCCTAGTCCCACTGTACTACACTGCACACCCCAGCCTCAGTGCATTGCACATCCCAGCCCCACTGCACTGCACACCCCTACGCCCCTGCACTGCACACCCTGACCCCACTGTACTGCACACCTCAGCCTCACTGCACTGTACACCCCAACCCCACTGCACTGCACACCCCGACCTCACTGCCCTGCACACCTCAGCCTCACTGCACTGTACACCCCAACCCCACTGCACTGCACACCCCGACCTCACTGCCCTGCACACCCCAGCCTCACTGCACTGCACACCCCAGCCCCACTGCACTGCACAACCAACCCCTCTACACTGCACATCCCAGCCCCACTGCACTGCACACCCCGATTCCACTGCACTGCACATCCTGACCCCACTGCATTGCACATTTCAGCCCCACTGCACTGCACTCCGATTCCACTGCACTGCACACCCAACCCCTCTACATTGCACATCCTGACCCCACTGCACTGCATACCTCAGGCCCACTGCACTGCACACCCCAACTCCATTGCACTGCACACCCGACCCCACAGCACTGCACACCCCAGCCCCACTGCACTGCACATCCCAGCCTCACTGCACTGTATACCCCAGCCCCACTACACTGCACACCCCAGCTCCACTGCACTGCACACCCTGACCCCGCTGCCTCCTGCAGTTAACTTTCAACTTGCTCCATTCCCGACTTGGAGCTTTGTACTTACCTACCTTCTGCTTGAGATAGTGTTTCTTCCAGATAGCTATGGTTCATGGTACCTGGATGTTATTTTCCATGGTAGCTGGATGAGATTTTCCCTGGCCATATTAAATACAAATGTTCCCATGTCTGTGCTACTTCGGACCTCCCTTTTCTGCTTTCTTTTTAATTTTGCCATTTATTACTCAGTATGGCTGTTTTTCTTTTACTTAGCTATCTTCTTTTGTGTTGTTTCCTCTTCCAGAATGTACTTTCCTTGAGGGAAGGGGCTTTTGTTCTGTTCACAGAGTGGGGACTGGTGCGTAGTGAACATGTGTTGAATGATGAAGGAATGAATGAAGGAAATACGATTTG